AACTAATTGAGACACAGCTTTAGATTTAACCCCCAATTTGTTATGTAATTTACAATAAATAAGATGCCAGAGAAATGTATTTCTATATAGAATAATATAATATAATATCGTTTGAAACGATATACATATGTATATATTGTCACACAATTCCGGATGAGATTCATATAATAGTTGCAAACATAATAAGTTTGTTGTTTTCTATGTCGATGTTTCTGGTGTCACACACTCTCCCTCTCTGTCTGTAATCTAAATGTTATGCTTTGGCGGAGTTGTTGTGGTTGTTGTGGAGAATCGTCCTCTCCTTATAGTAGATCTCTTCGGTCTCCTTATCGCAGACGAGCAGAAGAATGGCTCCGATGAGGAATATGGCTGAACCCCAGCCCACGCCATACGCCCAACCGAAGTACCAAAGCGGCCGATTCGCTGGCACTAAGTCTGAGTGGTGTAACTCGTTATAGAAAAAGGCCGGATATAATGTCAGCGCCACTATCACTGCCAGTACTGTCACATCAATTGACAAACAACAAAAAAACATAATTTTCATTAATCAATGCTAAACACATGAAATATTAGATGTGTGTTAACTCACGCGCCGCTAAATTGATATAAAGCGCGAAACGATAAAAAGTATATTTTCGGTTCGGGTCGCGGCTCGAGAGGCCAAACGCCGTCAATATAGTGGCCGTGAAGGCCAACACGAGACACGAAATACAAAAAAATCCCGACAAACGTATATAAGCTGTAAGAAAGTAAACAAACAAAAAGCGTTAAGACTCTTGAGATTATTGTCATTTTTATTATTATCCGATTATAGTTATCAATAATATGTCAAACAATATGAAAATAGTTTGGCTATAAATACCTGCATCTCTACCCCAATGGCAGCCATCGGTGTCCTGTAGGCCGAACGGCAGTGGCCGCGGACTGTCGGCGTCGATGCAGTACTGCCACAATCCCTGTCTATATTTATTTGTTGTCAACCAATTGGTCGATAGGAGACATAACAACATCAACAGATCAACGAAGAAACTACAGATTAAAGCTATGACCTGTAAATAGAGGCACAAAATAGGCATTAAATTTAAGTATCATTTATAAATCAAATACACTTTTTCTTTACAATTAATGCTATTTTTACGGCACAAACAAAAAGCTAATACAACGATAAATCAATTTCGTTATGACTTTCCCAGACATGGCTTAGAAATATCATCACAAAAGTCGATAACAAATTGAATCTATTTATAAACTCAGTGCACAAACTTGTAGTTAAGCGAAATGTTTACATAAAATTAATTGCTATAATAATTTACATTCCCAGACATGGCTTAGAAATATCATCACAAAAGTCGATAACAAATTGAATCTATTTATAAACTCAGTGCACAAACTTGTAGTTAAGCGAAATGTTTACATAAAATTAATTGCTATAATAATTTACATGACAAAAATACTTAAAATTTAAACATTAAATATTAAGTATAATAATAATCATAACAATAATAACGATTCGCAGAATATTCTGACATTTGAAAAGTCGAGTCAAACCATGAAAATGAAATAAATAAAGAAAATGACAAATGAATGGCAATTATTAACGCAAAGAATAACATCGAAGTTAATACACATCGAGAGAGGAATATCGGGAACAGAAAAACGAGAGGAATATTCTTAAAATACAACATAAAAATGTAGCCAAACCCTGAAAATATTGCAATTTTTGCGCCAAATGGTCGATATAAAGCAACATCCGGGCACTCTTTCCTCAATCACTTCAATCCGTTCCTCGATTTGGTACTCATTTTGTTGTCGATTGTAATACGGATTCATTGCTTGTTCGCAATTATTGTCCACATTAAGCATTCCCAGACATGGCTTAGAAATATCATCACAAAAGTCGATAACAAATTGAATCTATTTATAAACTCAGTGCACAAACTTGTAGTTAAGCGAAATGTTTACATAAAATTAATTGCTATAATAATTTACACGAAAAAAATACTTAAAATCTAAATATGAAATATTAAGTATAATAATAATCATAACAATAATAACGATTCGCAGAATATTCTGGCATTTGAAAAGTCGAGTCAAACCATGAAAATGAAATAAATAAAGAAAATGACAAATGAATGGCAATTATTAACACAAAGAATAACATCGAAGTGAATACACATCGAGAGAGGAATTTCGGGAACAGAAAAACGAGAGGAATATCCTTAAAATACAATATAAAAAGTGAGCCAAACCCTGAAAATATTGCAATTTTTGCGCCAAATGGTTGATATAAAGCAACATCCGGGCACTCTTTCCTCAATCACTTCAATCCGTTCCTCGATTTGGTACTCATTTTGTTGTCGATTGTAATACGGATTCATTGCTTGTTCGCAATTATTGTCCACATTAAGCATAGGGTTGCTGTAATCGAGTATATTTTGCCGCATAACTCGACCGTTCATTATTGATATATCAAAAGCCGATTCTTGTGTTCGTGTTATTCAACGATTAGATTTCAACAGTAAATACAAAATAATTTCTTCCCAAAAACAATATACGACAAAATAATTACTCTCTTATATGTACTGATATTATCAATGATATGACTGTTGTTGTATTAAAACACATATTAATAATAACTTATTTTTAATGATAATAACAAGTGTTTATGAAAGCGATTTATTAACGCCAAAACAAATGTCTCATATTATTAAGACTGGAAACCATTGGCACTGAAATCGAGGCCAATATTAAAGGGTCGGTGTTTTCCCGACTCAATACAGCGATCAATGATTGAATACATAGCAAACATTAGGAGAGACAGAGCGGCGGTATATATGGTTTTGAGCCGACAGACAATGTATTTCATACAAATGTCATACAATATAACGCTTAGAATAAGGACTACAAAAATATTTACAAAAATTAATACTCAATACTTGATAATGTAATGATTGATATAATGATTAATATTCGCCATAATATCGTATGAATACGACTACAATAATAAAAATCAATTACTTTTTTGGCATTAAATACTGACGGACTGAGTGTCGATATACAAGTGCAGTACAGTATAGCCAACAATGGATTCTCTATACAAACGACATGTCAAAGCGGAGGAAAAAATAATAAACTATTCAATACTAACGTTAGTCTATCTCTATATACAGAATCCATGTATTGAGAGAGAGTTAGTGCCGGGGAGTGAGAGGGGGAGTGCGAGAGAGAGTAATTATTTTGTCGTATATTGTTTTTGGGA